CTACCCCACGACATGTCTCCTCTGCGACTCTGCAGTTTCTCCTCTTTTTACTGCGTCCGAAAGCACGATAAGCGGTGTACTTTGATTTGGGGCATGGCCGACCCTGTGATTTTGACAAATATCCAATACCAAAGAGGGGGTTTATTTCGACATCCAGTTTAAAAAAAATTAATGAAGAGACTGACATCATCGGCGTCGATCCCCCAGGCCTGATGTAACACTGCCTGTACGAGGAGGTGAGGAATACGGAATACGAAACGATGAAAGAAAAATAGCATTGATAAAAAGAAAAGTAACGAAAGAAAAGCGAAGAAGAGAAGAGAGGCAAGATTAGCGATAGTGAGCAAGGCAATTCTGCCAGAAACTTGCATGTTAAATATTAAGTTGAATGAGTAAATAAACCGAGAGAGTCTGCCACATCATGCCCCTAATCCCAGTCCGAACAACGGGTGTCCCGACAGTACGGTTTATGGATTTTCGGACTGGACGGGGGTGGTGACAGGGTGTGGCAGGGGTACAAAAGGCAGCACCAGATGCCAACGACAGGAAAGGAGGGTAACATGGGCGCGAATAGATACCAAAACGAGGGCTTCCAGTGGCCCAACAAACGAAACCAATAGCATGCGACGATGCCAAACCGCCCATGAATACATTCCCGACGTGTTACAATTCTCATCAGTCTTTGCTAAAAGACTATGATGGATCTGCTGAGACGGACCAAATGTCAAATGCACCTTCCAAGTATGAGTGTTGCTGGCCAGAACGACCCGAGTATTGCGGCCCGGGAAGTGGGCGGTCTCTTGCCAGACCTACCCACTGTGTGGCCAGAACTGGACAAGTATGAGGTTGAGATCATGAGAGCCTGTTACTTGATGCCAACCAACCATGCCAGGAAAGAGCGACCAACATGCGACCTCAATACGCCTTGGATGGTGGGGTGCCCCAACACGCCATATCCAAAGAAGGCAAGAGGCGGGACGCGGAAGAGAAAGAGCGACCGCACATCACAGAAGGAGCGACTAGGGGGGTCAGGGAAAAGGGAAAGCGCGTCGCCCCATTCTGGCCCCTATTCCGCTTTTGTGTCTTGAACTTGCAGATTTGGTTGGTTGTCTTCGCGTTTCTCCCCCCACTTTCGGAATGTCCCTGCGAAGGAGGTCGGCGACCTTCATTCGGAGAATAAAAACTAATACCAAAACAAAATCCAAAATAACACACACCACACCCATAATACAACCTTTGCTTGACGAAAACAGAAAAATAGAACATCATGGGCCACCGCGGATTGTCTAGCTTTCGCAACATCACGAATTCGGGTCCAAGTATGAGCACAAAACAGAACAGCTGTCTTTCTCCCTTGATAGATCGTCAAGAGGGATATTGAGCCCTCTCAAAATGTCATTGTCTACCCAAACCCCAGAGTCCACAGAACAGAGAGCGGAGTCGCCTCCCCCCTCCCTTTACTAAACCACTTCTGCATTCGTGCAGTTGTTTAACGGTCTGATAGTTGCATGAGCAGAGACGTCTCGTCGTTCCATCTGCCTTTTCGGGACCTCCATTCGACACTGTGCCGTCGTATCAGTTGACCACTAGCTCGCCGAGAAGGTCCAAGTTCTGTTGTCTCGAGTGTCTGGCGTCTGGCATCTGGCCTAAGGGGACGAGACCGGCCCAGGCCGTGACACGCCAGGGCCAGGCCCTGCAAATGGCCTTGCAAATGGCCAGACATCGTCGGATGTGCTCAGTGCGTCCCACTATGTGGAGGACAGCTTGCCACGGATGCTCTGCGTCCCAACCTGCGTCTGGGCTCTGCAGTGACGATCGCTTCAGACCTCGGAGAGGTATCTGGGGCTTCTTTGTTTCTTACTTTGCTTCCACTCGAACTCGACTCGGCACCCCTCCCTCGTCTTTCTCTCATCCATGTCTCAAATCACGACACCAACCTAGGCGCCTACCTCGTTGTGGATATGTGCGTCTTGACCGCTGCTTCTCGAAGAATTGTTGTGCACCTCATCGCGTGGAGCGACACCCTCTCCACAGAGATAAGAGAAGAAAAGACAGGCTTGTCTAACGGCACCACTCCTTCAAGGGCAACGAAGGTGTAGCGCCTAGAGGACGGACACATGTGCTATCGTCTCCCTTGATTTGTCACCATTTTGGAAGAGGGAAAAGACAGAACCTGTCGTGCATCCAGTAAGGACCGAGCCATGAAAGATGGTGCAGAGCACCAGTGCAATATGCAATGGAGCGGGGTACTTAGGGGGTGTTGTTCGGTGGAGACCGGTCTCCTGTGACAGACCAGAGGGTTGCAAAGCTGCAAACAATGCCAAAGGTCATGCCCGTGGCAATGCACGCTGCGAGAGGCACACCATGGACAGAGAAGAACAGAACGCCGAAAACGATGCAGGAGGCCTCATAGTGGATACGACCAGTCGCATGCATTAAACCGGCAGCTGGCGTCCACAAAGGAAAGCAATAATGCGTCGTAGGATGCCTAGATACATACGAGCATTGGTATTGTTTTCTCGACTTGTTCTGGTTTCACCTCTGCATATCCCCAAGGCCAGTGAGCGGTCTAGAAGTGCGAGCGGTCTAGAAGTCCTTGTTTCTTGTAATATGACCCCTAACGATATGGGAAGGCACGACTCTACCGGAGAGTAACTGCAATGGGCTTCGAATTCATGCCTGGCCTCTCCAGGCGGTGCACAAGCTGTCCTGCAGACATCTCTACTCCGTTGGCGGTGGTTGCTTGCCCGATTCGACAAGAAGCACTTCTGGACAATGCCAGCAGCTTGCACGTCGTCTCTCTTTATCTAAAGCACTGAGGTTAGCACGTTCGTTTCAGGAGAAACTGGAGAGGGCCGGCTTGCCGTAGTCTCATGAACAAACATTGATTTAGCATCGCCGTTTATACCATTTGAAAGCTTGTAGGGATCACGCTTTCGGCGTATAAATGCCCGGTGCCCAGTAGCAAATAAACGAGGGCCCTTGACTGCTTACAAAAACAGTCAGTTTAGGATAAAATGTCCAGCACACCGTTTGTGTAGTCTGATAGGCGTGGATGTCCTGACCCTACTTTGTGGACATCAACATTGCAAACTTCTGCCATGTCCACTCCACCCCGTTTATATCTACGCAGGAGAAAAAGAGGTCGACATTGTCAATATGCGGCATAGGCTTAAGCTGACGATGTCAACAATCTAATTTTGCGTTGCCCGGGAGCATCGACGCCGGAAGCCTCTTGCTTTCCGGACTTCGAAATCGGCTTTTTTACCCGGTATCGCCGTCAACATCGTCGCCAGATCTTGTCGTGTCGATGGTTTTCCATAGAAAATCATATATTTGTGAACTTCTCTGCTTTGCCAGCCCTTCACCGCGTTTTACTACCTACCTGCGGGATTTAACCAAGGGTTCGTACATTAAGCAGCCTGCTATATGCCGTGGTTTTGTATGCAGCCCTACTTATGATATACTGTCTTATTGGCCTGAATGCCTCCTTTTCCTCGATACAACTTTCGTTTCTGTATTTTATATCCACGGTGGAGTTTCTTGAATAATTACATTAGTCCTCATGCTCATTTATTGAAATAAATAAAGCGACATGCCTCCTGTTTCATGGCACCGTCCGGGCCGTAAGCTACAGGCTATGACCAAGACACAAGCACCTATGTCCTGACAAAGAAAAGACTCGGGAGTATTATCGCTATATTTGCGGACAATTTAACGTCTCAGGTGTAAGGCACAAAATACTTGCAACAAATACAAATCAATTTGCCAGCCTCGGAAGTCATCGTACACATACAGTTACCTTCCTTGACTAATACCATACCAATGCAATGGCTCTAGGGTATACATCAATCGTTTTCCATTCTCTTTGGTATATTTTTTTCATGCCTATAAAAATATCCAAGCGAGTGTCCAGTATATAAACGTACGCTGCTCGATGTGGTTTTGCAATGGACGGTCCTCCGCTTATTTGGTGCTCAACCATGCCAAACTGAATATGTAAGGCAGCAGTTTTCGGTAACTGTCATGAGTATGGCTAGTATGAAAAAAATTCTAATGTGACTTGTCACCTCGCAGAGACGGGAGATAAATCTTTTGCTTAATACAAACACGTAAGACCTACATAATCTTAACTTTTTACCGTGGCTAGTTCAAAAATATTGGATTAATTATTCACAAAACACATTTCACGTACAAAAGGACTTTTAAAATGTAAAAAAAATGCTGGCAAATAAAACCAACTATTTGATTCGTAGTGCCTATCATGTATATCGTCATAATTTCACACAACGATAAACAGTGCATTGCGGCATGTCGACCAGAGGTCGCCAGGCTGAGTTAAATCGCAAGGCTGAGGTCAATTTGGCCAATGAGAGGAGTGTATTATTGACGTGTAATAGTGGGGCGCCTTGTCAGTCCCGTGAAATGTCGCAAGCAGGTGACCATTTTGAGACTAGCGCTGGGTAGCTATCACGTGCCGTTAACTCAATTACAGGGGCACCAGGTCCCCAACAACGCGCGATCGCCAAGTGGCTTCATCATCGGTTCGATTAACACGTGTAGCTTGTTTGCCTCTCTGTCCGCAACCAACTACAACATCCAGCACCAGCAGCACCGGCATCACTGTTCAGTACGTGCATGTTGTTACAAGGGTTTATCTGCTACTGTGGAGGAAAGCCGGCCTTTTACTCCATTCGAGTCGGCATTTTTCCGGTTGTCCTGTCGACTCTCATTTATTTGACTCTCGTTTATTTAACAGCCTCTGGCCAGCTGTTTCATTCGCCGCATCGATTGCTGTTGCAACGCCACAACTGCTACAACGATATCGTCCTTCATTCTTACCTCTAGACCGCTGACTGAAGTTACTCCAATGCTCTTTGCGAGCCTGATGCTGTGGCTCCCTCTGAGCATCTGAACGAGAGCTGCTTCGAAACGCCCATCGCTTTTACGCTCACCACGCTCGACCCCGGCACTATCGGCCCCTCCCAAAACACACCGTGATGATGCGTCTGGAGTGGTATGCCGGGGCCTCGACGGTCCTGGCCACCGGCGTTGTGCTGTCCGCCTTCCACCAACGAGCCAACTTTTACTCAGCCATGGTCTATCTTTTTCAGAGCAATCTGTGCATGATGGTTTGTTTTTGGCCCCTCGACACAGTTCCCCCATGACCCCATGATCCTATGCTGACTACCTTTCCCTTCTCCGCAGATCCTTGTCAACCTCATCGCCCTCATCTACTCGACGTTTGTCTACAGCCTCCAGCGTGTCTGCTTCGGCCAGCTCCGCGCCGTCGAGGTCGAGCAGCTCTACGAAAAAGCCTGGTTCGCCGTCACCGAAACATGCTTGGCCATGACCATGTTCCGCGACGAAATTGGCGGCTTCTTTATCGTCATGTTTGTCGCCCTGTTGACGGGCAAGGTCTGGGGCTGGATTGGCGAAGGCCGCATCGAAGCTCTCGAGCAGCAACCGCCCGCCAACCCGCGTTTGTTCCATACTCGCCTCATCATCTCGCTCTGTTTGAGCTTGGTGTACGATGCCTGGCTGCTGTACTATGCCGTGTCGACTGTGATTGACCAGGCCAAGTCCGACATGATGGTGATGTTCCTCTTCGAGTTTGCCGTCCTGCTCGTCACGTCACTACACACCGCGCTGCGATACGGCATCATCCTGCTGGACATAAGCATCATCAAGCGCCAGACTCAGGAGCGGTTGGTCGAGCGGCGCCGTGAGATTCGAGAAGAGCGGGCGGCAATTATCCGCCGGCGTGAAGAGGCAGCCGCAGCAGCCGAAGCGGCAGCGGCCACGGGACAAGAAGGCGGCGAAGGGGCTGTGGCGGCACTGGAGACCGAGGAAGACAATGAGCCGTTGCCAGACGAAGATGATGTGGACGAGATGGACATTGAAGTGGCGGGCTGGGAGGCCAAGGGCCAGTACATTCTTGGCCTCGACCTTTGGACAGGTAAGAGGCGATCGCCCTCGGCTATTAGGAAAGACATTATACCTCACACTAACACCATCCCTCCAGATTTTACCAAACTCTGCATCTATGCCGTCTTCTTTATTGTTCTTCTGAACTTTTATGGCCTGCCCCTGCACATCATTAGGGACCTGTTCATGACGGTACGGTCTTTTATCAAGCGGCTGGGTGCATTGATGAAGTACCGCCAGGCAATCAAAGATATGAACCGGTATGAGGATGCGTCCGAACAGGACCTGGCCCGCGAAAACACGTGCATAATTTGCCGCGAAGACATGCACGTGTGGAACCAAAACGACCCAGCGCGCATTGAGCGCACCCGCCCCAAGAAGCTTCCCTGTGGCCATATTCTGCACCTGGGCTGTCTCAAGAGCTGGATGGAGCGACAACAGGTGTGCCCTACGTGTCGTCGGTCTGTGGTCATTGACGACGCGTCCAACGCACACCGGAATCGCGATAATGCCCTGTTCAGGTTGAACCTTGTGGCTGCTGGGGCAGCGGGTGCTGATCCAGCGGGTGCTGGAGTAGGTGCAGCTGCAGGTGCAGGTGGTGTCGCGGGTGCCCCGCCTGCAGCTAACGGAGCCAACCCGTTGCAAAACCCGGCACTCCCCGCCGTTAATGGCCAAGCACCTGCTCCCGGAGCGGCAGCGGGTGCCCCGGGCCACGGTGCCGATGCGAACCACCACAATCCCCACCCGCCGCCGCCTCCAAACGGTGGCGGTGGTGGTGGTCCGGCCCTGCGAATGTTCAACATCGGACCCCTGCGTCTTGGATTTGCCCAAGGTGGCGCGCGCGACATCCAGGAGATGGCACAACGGCTCGGCCTTCCTAATGCCATCGCCGGCGGCAACCCTCCTGTCAACAATCAAGCGGCACCGGCCGGCGTTGCTGGTGGCCCACCTGCTTTCGGTGCTACCCCGACTCCATTCGCGCATCACGTCCCGCATGCTACACCAACCTCGACAATGTCCCAGTCTACCTCGACTGCGTCCATTTTCCAGGACCTCCGGTCCATTGAGCGTCGTATCGAGCTAGGCACGATTGAGCTCCAGCTGGCAAGTGCTGAAGCCCGGGCCCTGCGGACCATGCTCACCGAGCTGCAACGCATTCGCAACACGGAGCATACCCCGACGACGGCACGCGAACCGACACTGACGGTGCCTGTCGACCCGACTGGTCCCGCAGATCCATCAGCCGTAGCAGCTACGGATCCTGTAGCACAATCCACAGGGGCGGCACCGGACGCGAGTGCGACGAATGCGACGGAACGGGCGCCTGCCCAGGCACCCCAAGAGGACGCGCCAGCAACATCAAGCAGCAGCGCCGCGCCGGATGCACCCGATGCATCCAGCTCAGCCGAACAGGAGCGGGCTGCGCTGAATCAGGCGGAATCGTTTTTCCGTCAGTGGCCAGGCATGGACGCGACACTGGACAATGGTTCGAACAGTGGCCCGGATCAGGGCGCGGCTGTCGGCGCAGGAGGGCTTGGCGACGAGTTCGGGAATGTCCCGCCTGTCAGAGGAAACTCGGAGTTGCCTCCTGGTGTCCAACTTCCACCAGGCTGGTCGCTGGTGCCTCTTGATCAGTACGATCCCACTCGCCGCACAACCACCGATAACGACGGTAATAGCCAGCCGGGACCGTCAAACAATCGCGTGACCTCCCAGCCGAACCCGTCCCGTGATTCTTTGCCTGCGGATAGCCGCGAAGCAAGAATTAATGCGCTTGCATCTCCACTGGCGTCGACGGTCGAAGCGGTCCCTGAGAGTAATGCACCGGCAGCTACGTCGGCGGCTCCTATGTGGGGCGGATCGGCACAACTATACGGTAGTTCCAGCCAAACTACTCCTCGGGCGACACAGACACAACAGCAGCAGCCGCAGCAGCCGCAGCAACCACGGCCGCAGCAAAACGACGATGAGAGCTCCAGCGAAAGTTCCGAGGGCTCGAGTGAAGACTCGAGCAACGATTCTTAGGTTGGCTTTGCATGGGGATTTGGCCACTGATGGAAGTTGAATAGATATTGTGTATATTTTTAGCATTGCGAGGAGGACAGTCCGGGCAGCGACCATGACTTCTCGCGTAACACGCCACAGAACGCTTCCGACACTTTTTTGTATATTCTCCGACGCAGCGATTTCACTTTATTATTTTATTCTCTTTTGCTTCTTACCTGTGGCTTGCAGTTATCCGTGTAAAAAGTGTGTTCTCCCCTTTTAAATGTCTTTAGCGGTGAAGAAAGCATGGCATGGAACGAGTAGTATTTTGTAATAAAACCAAATCTATGTCATGAACGAGTAAACGCAAACGGAAAGTGAACAACGCGCACGAATCCCGGTGCGTTGTAGGATGGCAAAAGTCATGGCGCTTGATGTACAAACGGCCGAAGCCACAAATAGAAGCAAAACGAGAACACACGCTTAGTTGCGATGTCCATGTCCTCCACATCCTTTGTCTACCCTTCCATCTGTACATCGTCACCACCAGGGTTCCGTCTTCGCTGCTTGTCTTGCATCCGCCTTTCAAAGCGTGTCGTGGCATCGCCTACCCACGTCTGGTAGGCTGCGTCGCCTTTGCCCTCGGCCTCGCCTTCTCGAAGCTTGCCCTCCACAACACCTTCGAGCACTTCATGTGCAAAGCCCACGAAGTTGTGCCGCCGCAGCGCATTTTCAAACTGCCAGTCGCGCCGCTTGCGCGCTTCCCGCGCCAGCAGTTCCGTGTCGCCCAGTTCGCGCGCCTGCAGCCGGCGGTCGCGCACGGCAGCCATGAGGTTGAAGTGGATCTCGTCGGCACCGTAGCGGGCGATGCGGCGCTGGACGGCCTCGAGGGCGCGCTCGGCAAACTCGACAGCGTTGTTCTCGTCGCAAGCGCCGTGGTCAATGGGCGCGGGCTGCAGGCCGTCGAGTTCGTAAAGGCGGCCATGGACGGCGGTGTAGGCAATAAAGTGGAAAACGTCCTCGGCATCGTCCGGGCTGTTGGGCCGCTGCGTCTCGTCGACAAAGGGGCTGCTCTTGGCAAAAGAATTGTGGACGTCGCGGATCAGCTCGTCGTTGCTCAACGCCTCGCCGCGCAGGTCGGGCGGCAGGGCCATGGCAAAGTCGCCAAAGTCGCGCAGGTGCTGGCCAATGTCGACATCGCCGCCGACGCTGGCCGATTTGTTGAGGAGGACAGACAGCAAGGCCTGTGTGCCGCAGGCGTTCTGGATGGTCTGGTGGGCAAAGAATATGTTCTCCGAGGCGGCATGGTCAAACTTGCCATCGCGCGGTGCGCCGCTGTCACCGACGTATGGGGTATTGGTCGGAAACTTGAAGAGGAAGATGACGCCGTAGACCGGGTTCAGCTCGGCGAGGGCTTGTGCATCGAGCGACAGGAGCTCTTCGAACTGCACACCCTTGACACCGAGGTTTTCGAGCAGGTACGTGAAGACGCCCGCATCGGACTCAACTAGTCAATAGGGAAAGCATTGGGGTCAGTCTTGGGCAACTAGGAAAACGTGACCAATTTAGGGATGCGCCGCCGCCTCCAACCCCCCGCTCAAAGCAACATCGCCCTGTCGTCATCCGTCCTTGGTCATCGGCCCCAGGACTCACTTGTGTTCCACCCGCCGCTCATTGTGAAGCGCTGCGAGTCCTCCTCGCACGCTTTGTAATCAAGATTGTTCGTTGAGTTCACTCTGTATCGTATTCGTGCTGGTCGTGTGCTAGATGCAAGGCTGGCTGTCTATATGTCTCGTTTGGGGTCTGCGGCGACGGTGACAAATCACAATGGAAGACAAGTAAGGAAGGTTTCTAGGCACGGGCGTATTACACGGGTTTGACGCAATGCAGGTGATGCGGATGTCTCGTTGGTTGTGAGTGGTTCGTCGTTGTCCAGGGTGTTGGTTGTTGGTCGGTGACATGCATAAAAAGCGGAAAAAGCAAAAGGACGTTCCAGAAGGCGAAAGCTTCAGAGCAGCACTGCTGCCTGCCGACGGTAACTTACGCCTTGAGCAGACCCACCAAAATCACCAAAGTTGCAACCTGCGGGGAAAGAGCTACGATATGTGGGTCCCAACTTTGCACGTCACAATGGTGGCGGAAGGCACCGCTAACCCGCTGTAAAACCCAGTGTTTGCCCCTGGCAGCAACGGCTTCTTTGCGTGGGATGGCTTCGGCATTTCATTAATCCAGTGCGCTATGTTGTTTGTATCTGCACAAAGATACATCACCATCAGGGTCATGTTGCTTCATATACTAGCAGATCTTGCCAGTGACCCCCTTACCTACCATCCTCTCACTCCGTCGTCTCTTTCGTTAGTCTAATGCCGTTGACATTTATCTCCTTACAATACTCATCCTCCCTATCTGCTTGTCCTGGCGATGGCACCTGTCAGACCCATTCTGACATGAATAGACCTGTTTTGCTGCTGAATTTATGTGGGGTCCTGGGGGGACCGTTGTCGTGAGTCGTCAGTCCTCACGCGTGCGGGTGACTTGCAACGATGGCTTTAGGTGGCGGCTCAATTGTGGAATGAATTGAACTAGGGCTCTTTTCGGCCGGCGAAGTCGCCGACGTGGTCTGCAGGTCGTGCAGTGGTTGCGCGTTGCTGTCGTCGGGGAAGATGAATGCATCGTCGTCTTCGTGCAGACTTTCTTTGTCACCCCAATACCGGTCTCGCGTAAATAGACGGAACACGGCTGGTTTCATGCCTGCCGGCTTCCACGTCCAATATTCCTTGAGATCGTACTCGCGCGGCTCGACGGTCCCACCAGTTGCCCGCATCACAACCCATATGAGGCTGTTCAGGGTGACGTAGACGAAGAGGCCACTGTGCAATCGTTAGGTTGCCAGTACGGTGACTCGACGGGGATCGAAAGGAGAGGGGACAAAAAAAAACTTTATACTTACGCCATAAGACCGTATGCTACGCTGTAGCTAAAGGGCATAAACACAATGGTGATGAATGATGGGATGGCGTCACCAATGTAGCTCCAGTTGATAAACGTCACCTGTCGGATCATGAGACAACCTACCTGCAGAGTTGTTAGTAGCTGCTTGAACAAATGGCCAACGAAGGGACAAACGCTTACCAATATCAGTGTTGTCCCAGTCGCCCAGGGCGGAATGGAGGCGAAAATGGGGCCAAAGAAGACGGATATGATGAAACAGAGGCCAGTCACAATGGCGGTTAGACCCGTGCGGCCACCTTCAGTAATACCGGCACCGCTCTCAATAAAGGCAGTCGACGGGGAGCATCCGAAAATGGAGCCGATTGAGATGAATGCCGCATCTGTGCAGTAGGCAATTGTGGAGCGTGGAAAGTCGCCATCGGAACCGGTCTTACCACTGAAGCGCGCCATGGAGTAGAGCGTTGCAGTACAGTCGACAATGTCAACGTAGAGGAAAGTGAAAAGGGCCATGGCAAAGTGCGCACCGTTGGCACCGCTCAGATCCCACTGCTGGGCCGCAAGGACGTGCTTGATGGGAGTGAACGCCACAATCTGCTTGAAGAAGTCCCATCGCGCCTCGCCTTCGTCTGTGTAGGGGAAGTAGGTTACAGATGTGTTGCGGCTAATCATAAAGAACCATGTTAGCTTATGTACGCAAAACGAAGATAGATGAAGGGCACGTACGGCCAAGATATAATAGTTGTGATGGCGATACCGACGATGATGGCGGCCTTGACACGGAATGCCATGAGAAGGGCAGTGATGAGTCCACTAACGATGCCAAGCCACATCTGTGATTGCAAGATATTAGTAAATTAATCCGTAAAGGTGCAGCTATGTCTCAAGATGCAGGCATATCTCACCTTTGGGCTCCGCATCCCGTTTGCCATGCAGGTCCCGTCGATATCGAGATCTTCTACAGGACAGCCTCCGATCGTGAGGGGTGTCGCTACGCCACCGGCCGTGATAATTCCGATGCCAGACGTGTATGACATGCCGCTCAGGGCAAGGAACATGCCTATGCCAACACCACTTGCCGTCTTCAGGGTCCCCGGGATGATGCGGATGAGCCATTGGCGCATGCCGGTTAGTGCCAGAAAGAGGAAGATGAATCCTTCAACGAAAACCGCCGTCAGAGCAATTCGGTACGGAACGGGGCCGGTCCCTCCTACCCCCACGACTTGGTACGTAAAGTATGCGTTGAGGCCCATTCCGGGGCTGTGAAGATGTTAACCTCCTTCACGAAGCTTTGCACGACGTTAGGTAGGAATTGCATGGAACACTTACGCCAAAGCGACTGGCATGTTGGTGAGAAAGCCAAAGGTCATCGAAGCGAGCCCAGAGACGATGGCAGTTGCCGTCACAAAGTCCCTGTGCAGTTCTAACGATAGCAACAGTTAGTATACTGAAAAATATTGAGAAGACCCTGTTTAGCACCGTACCATTGAGGCAGACTTGGAACTCCGGGTCTGCGCAGGTTCCGTCCTTGTTCGGGTCTTCACAGACACATGTACCGTTTGTTGCAACAAGAATCGAGGCCTTTTGTAAGTCATGGTGAGATATGTGGTTTGGAGGGTATTTTCGAAGTAGTAGTAGAGGAATCTCACGTTCACGGCAACAATGTATGCCATTGTCGCAAAGGTCGTAAGGCCAGCGCGGATTTCTGTCGCGAAATTTGCATGGCGGATCTCTTCGGGCTGAGATTCAGATTCGAGTTAGCAGGCCATGGCCTCATGGATAAGAAAGGGCCGCCAATAAGTTTCAGATAAACGTACATGTCCTGAGCCGCGCAGGCGGAAAATGCGGCCAAACGTTGACCGGTTGATAGCTTCATTTACGTTGGAAAGGCAGCCTTTGGCACTGCTTGCCAACCGAGCGACAGGGTTCCTTCGCGAGGACCTGCTGAATACCATATTGGCAGTTCTGTGTAGTTTCTGTGGGACTCTGGTTCGTCGTCAGGACGCAGCAGAAGGTGAGAAGTTGTTCAGAATGGCAACAATGACAAGCAGCAGCCCATCCTGGTTAACAAGAAGTAAAAGAGCAAGAATTCGTGACAAGTGGCAGAACTGAGGCCAGGAAGAAAAGGAGGAGAAAGGGCAAGATTAGATCAAAACGAACGGAAATTAACTGGGAAAAGGAAGAAAGCAGGGCGCGTAAAAACTCGAGCTAGGGCAACGGAAGGAATGTCTGCAGTCACTCCAGATTGAAGCAGTACAGGTGGCGTCGGAAGCAACACGAAGGCGGTCAATCGGAGGCACACACAAATGACCAAGGCTGAGTTGCAAGAGAAAAATGAGAAAGAAAGAGAGCCTTGAAAGTGAATAGCGGAAACGATGGCCGAGAGAGAGGAAGTGGACGTCGAGTCGAGGTTCTGGGGAGGAGAGAAGGTTGGCTCAGCACGCGGACTCGTCAACAGGGCCAGGTGACACAGGTAGGACAAAAAGGTATATGTCTGGTGCCGAGCAGCAGGTGCATTAAGACGTACAGAGAGTGGAGGATGTGAAAACAAAAAAGAGTGTAGGATAGGACTGGGGGCGTATGTTGGTAACGAATGTGTGCGGTCGGGGAAGGAGACGGAAGAGCAGGGAGTGAGCGAGAGGTGAAGATTGGGGAGGAAGGTGGGCGGGTATCCGGTTTAGGAAGGCACGCTGCTAAACTTGTGATGTTGAAAACAAACACGACGAAAAGACAGAAAGATCTGATAGAGAATGAGCAACTGATAGATCAGACGAAATAAAAAAGACCAAAAAAAAAGGGAAAAAAAAAGAAAATAGCCAGAAGCAGCAGAACAGGCCGAAAACAAAATACATGCTCAACTGCGGCACTGTCTCGGGGAATCTCTGCAAAACTACACATACTGTATGGTAAGAAGCGAGGTGATACTGACAAAATCCAGCGGTATATTTGATGATCCTTTTCCAAACCGGGACTGTTTGTACGGGCAGCAGGTGCATATAATTCCATGGACCGCTCACCTATTCGATTATCTCCTCGACTCCTGTCTCTCGCGAAAACATTGGAAGTTCCTGTTTTCTACTACAGATATGTCTCCTCATCAATCTCCTGGCCAAGATGCCCTTTCCTGATCTATCACCCTTCATCAAGCCGTCCCCGGTCAGTAGAGTACAACCGGGCGGCTTTCGGGGAGTGCAAGCAAAACTCAGGGGTCATGCGTCCCGTGTGTTCTGCTTAGGCATTGCTTGGTCGTCGCCTGGGGGACCATTTCTATTTCTAATATTACGCGTCCAAATTCATGACAGCTTGTCTTTGTGGCACATCTCGCTTGCCATCGGTCAGAAAGATTCCTCGATGGCGCCCTCGCTGGTGGTGGGCATGGTGGCGGTGAATCAACGACAAGGTCAAGGATAGTGGTGTCGGCAGTAGATGGAAGGCACTCGAGGGACGCAAGATCAAACGACCGACTGATCCTAGCACGTTCGACAAGTCCAGGACAATGCAGCCTAAAAAGGACCTCCAACGAAGGTCCGGGATTGTTCTTGTTGATTTTCAGTGTAACCCATCTGTCTTGGACCAATTGCCTTCTGTGTTCTGTGGTGAAACTGGTCAGAGGTCGCACTGCACAAAACGGAGGACGGCAGTATGGTGAAAGGGCGGCAGGAGGCGTAGAGGAGAAACTGCCCGGGATGAATGTATGCCGCACTTACACGATCAATGTGCCAGCCAAACCACCCGGCCCTGGGCCTGTCCTGCCATGTCTAGCTACTCCGTGTCACGGTGTACAGGATGCTGCAGGACCGGGCAGATTCTGCACCTGACGAAAAGGACAGTTAATTGGATGCTCGGGGCAAGAAGAGGCGAGAACCAACATGCCGGCCCATGGCCTAGGCGATATTGGTTTGTCTTTGACCTATCCGCTGTGCCGTGGGTGTTAGTCGGAGGAGATTGTCGCTCACGTAGACGATGTGGGTAGCGTCCTTCCGAAATCTGTCTTCTGGGAGCAGAATATGCCAGGGGCATAGTGGGTTAAAGGAGTTAGCTTTTCTCTCGAAATCGTTGAGCGGCGTTGCTTGGTAAAGTTGACACCCGTATGGTACGCCGTCTTGAGTCCTGATACTTTGTCATATCTCGGATAGAAAGAGCATTCTGTGTAAATAAGAAACAAGCAATAAACACAACCTCAAGGATCCCGGAATGACTGTCGCAGAAAACAGATGATGGAATCGATAGCAGCTTACGTTTGATTTGTCAAGGCGCGGCTGTAAACAAAGATTACTCCTTTCACGCCTGTACATGGCGTCCCCGAGACAAGTGGAAATATATACGATATTGCAGCTGTATTGTGTGCGATATTGTACCCTGAGTTATGTTCAAAATGTTTTTGATACTGCGTGCGATCCGGCTGCACCTGTGGCACCGTCGCTCGGGGGGACCCATATGGTTTGACGAGGGGCTGTGGCGCAGTGTCGACTGATAGAGATAAATCGCTAAAGCTGCATCTAGAGAACTGAAGGGACTATTTTGGCACGGTTTGCACGAACTGAAGTAGTTAGATGTGCCTGTCGAGGGCCGTGGTCAGGCCAAAGAAAGCTAGGCTGTCTTGATGTAGAAAGGGGTTAGTAAACAACTCGGGGAGGCTGGCCAGTGTCGGCCAGCGAGCCACAACCTTCATTTCGTGCAAGAAAAGCATGCATTGCTAGTCCATGTGTCGCTGCTGGAGACTAGTATGAACTTTGGCTTTCAGCTCTTATTGTACGAATTTGCCTCGTTGTAGCACTGCGTTCGGATGGCGTGTGTACGACAGGGAGGAGGAAAATGTCGAGCAGAGGGCTGCTCGCTATCGTGGGTGCTTGTGTCGGCTCGCGGTAAGGTGTGAGAGTTGAGACACGGAAGTTTTGAAGATTTTGAATTTGGATGGTCGGTTTAGCGACGCGAAGGAAGGCTCCTTCTCATTTTCTGTTGCTTCTCGGACGGGCAGGAGCACGCGTCGATGGCTCTTGCCACGAAGTGTATGGCCTTTGTGTTCAGACGACACGTAGGAAGGTGCGAGTGAGCCATGCGGTAGCTCCTGGCTCATTTTATCCTCGTGGAAACCGTTCCTTCCGGTGTTTTGTGAACTTGTTGGTTGCAATCGTCGTGACTGTGGAATTCGTCGGCATTGTTTCTCACTTCCGACTCAGACCCACCTCACCTTCTTCTCACCTTTTTGACCTCACAACCTGAACCCTTTCATTCTTGTTGCTTTTGGAACAGATTTTTTTTAAAAAAAAGTTTTGTGGTTTGCTTTAGTCTGATCTTTCGCGTCGCTTGTTTTCCCCTTCTTGCAAGTCCTCTTTCCTTGCACAATCCCCCAAGAGCAGTTAAGTCATGGTCGTACATCGGGCTCGTCTGCCCTTTCGTTCCCCTTCCCCGTCATCTCGCGACCGCTGTCAACTCCATACGCTCTCTTCCCTGGAGCATAGGAGTAAAAACGTGTCGTAGACACCTGCTTGTCGACACGCTGGCCCAATGCCCAGATTGGTATCCTGCTGGCGGGACGTTTTCCTTCGTCGTCTTGTCTTTCTGCCTTGACTTCTTTCACTGCCCGATGGAAGACAACTCCTGACGTCCTGACCATTGCGATCCTCGCATTTTCTCTACATTAGTTTGTTTTATGTTGCCATCAAGAGGCGCACCTGCAGTCAGCGTCTTTCTGCAGTTTCCATTCTCCTGTTCCTCTTCTTTTCGAACTGAGGTTTCGGGTTGCTGCTTTCTCAAATGGTCGGAGACATATGCAGCCACGGACAGGCTCTCGGTCTCTCTGTCTCTCTGTATTAGCCCAAGAAAAAACGGTGCGTTTTGACTCGACATAGGCGGTCTTGGTACGCCGTTGGACTGCTTCTTGACGGACCAAAACGAAGCCTAGAAAGCACGCGGTTACACGCATTACGCACGTTGCTATTCGGATGTTCTAATCAGATTTCAGTCACTTTTCCTATTTCCTCTCCATTTCTTTCGCTTGGTTTACGCATCTCCCTATCAACCATTTTCTCTGCCTCGGCCTCAATTCCTTGTATCCTACTTCTCCTTCGCTTATTGACAAGGAAGGCTGGAGATTCTCACCTCACCCACTAATATCACACCCTCTCTCTTTGAAGTCATCGATCACCAACGCCGCTCATCCACCATCCAACCACCTCCTACATCGGTACCGGCAAAATACCTTCGACGGCGTCTTTCCTTTTGTTTACCCCACAGACAGCAGACGACAAATACAACAGGGGTGACATAACGACCATGTTTGATGTGGTATGGGCCAACCCCAACCGGGAGCTGGTCGGCCAGAGAAAGGCGCGAAAGGAGAAGGAGAAGGAGCAAAAAGACACATGTAGCAGCGGCGGCCGCTCAACAGCATCGGCGGAAACAGAGACCTCGTCACTTCGCAACAGGAAGCCGCAGAGCTTTCTAGAGTCCATCCGCTTCAAGAAGAAGAAGCTAAAGCAAGACGCGCCGTCGGTATCTACGAGCTCACGACTTTCCGGACTCAGTGATACGGGTGGCGATCGAGACTCCGTACTGGCACCACCGAGCCTTGCATCATGTCTGGGCCGGTCTGCTTCGGTGCAGTATAGAGACAGCAGTGGCGACGGTACCGGAAGCATTGCCAGCGGTCAGCAGAGCAGCTCACAGAACAGGTCATCGCTTGACGGTAAGAGGCCAACGACATCGACAGGAGAAGAAGAAGACTATTATTAAGCGACTACCTATACTAATCGCTTCTAGTTGATTCAATCTTGTCCAAATGGACCATTCCTAACTCACTCGCTACAATGCTATCAGTTGATGAGGAAATGGAGCTTGAACTCAGAACTCAGAACGGCAAGAAAACAACGTCAATAAAAACCACAGGGAGTGATATTGTACAAACAGTTCTACGACTACGCAGTGACGGCAGTCAGGAAGTGAGCACACCAAGCTCCCGAGGTTTAGACAACGATAGACACGAGGCTCTGCTACCTCATGCTCCACCGCTTACACCGATGGCATCGCCACAGAAACCGTAAGATACAAAACTTATATAATGGCCCTGGTAAAAGTTCGATATCAACTATACTAATCCATACATACAGATCGAAATCACCGCTTACACCGTCGAGCTTAGCCTCGTCTCGCCGAAAGAAGAAGCGGGTGAATCCTCCCGACCTAAAGTTGCAGGCCCGTCACACATTGGGCAAGCCAATTGAGTCCTTTGGTACACCCGACATGCCTGACATTCGGCCGCTCTCCGTTCGAAGTTCAGCAACATCCTGGAACGCTAGATCATCATGGGAAAATAAGAGTCTTCCTAGCATCAGCCTTCCGACACCCCTCAAAGTTGGCATCAAAACGCCACGGTCACCGAAATCCCCGTCCAATACTATCCGCTCCTCGCCCATGGTTGCCACAGAAGAAACAAGCCCGTCCAGCGTCACAGCACGGGAAAACGACAGGTTGACATCGCTGTCACTGAGTCTATCCGGTATACAAAAAGATATCCAGAAAATGGCCGCGGCTGACTCGGAGACATTCTGGAAACGGCTGACCGAACAATGGGGCACATGGCAAGATGCAGCCCTTTACAAGGCGCTTGAGATGGACCGGAAACGCTGGCTGCTATCGGCCTTGTATAGCATCAATCCCGCACCGGATGCGGGTATTCCGGCGACGAACATTGAACGTCGTATCCTCGCCTTCTTTGAGACCCAAGGTGAGCTTCACTTAGCAGCATCTGTTTCGAGTCAGCTAATACTGTACGTCATACTGAAAACCCGTAATAGCTACGGCATCATACATTGCCGCTCTCAACGCCGGCACTCCTGTCCACCACATGTCGCCGAGTCCGCTCTCCAACAACCTGTTTCCCAACGTCGTGCCCAAGTTGTCTCCCTCCTTCTCGTGCACGGCACTGTCCGCCTCGCCCCAGGCCTTCTCCGACATCTATGTCCAACCACTGCCAGCCCTGGTGTCCGCTAGCGACATCCCGCTCGTTCTACGCAATATGCACCGGGCGCTCACGCCGCAGGGTACCTTGCACCTGCTCCTCATCGACCCGGCTCCTGCACGCAGCGTCACTGGCCCACGACTACAAGCCTGGCTCGATGAGCACTTGTTGTTGAATTTGGAGCGGCAGTTCCGCTGCACGAGTCCCACGCGACTGTTTCCAACATGGTTGCGAGACGCACATTTTCAGCTCGGTGCCGGTTCTAAAGTTGTCTGCCCGTTTTCGGCTGTATTCAAGGAAGAAGAAAGGAGGAAAACCCAGGAGGAGACGCAAGAACCAGCACAACTGCCACCACAGCCACAAGAGCAGACATCACAAGAGTCACCGATAGTTTCAGAAGACCTGCCAGAACAGCCATCGGAACTATCCGCGCCAGACGCACCACCGAACAACAAAGGTCGCTTACAAAGTCTCGTGGGCCAGAAGCTGTGGCAAGAAATCTGGGGGCCGTATGTCACGGCGAACAAGTGGTGGTGGGAGGACGAGGCCTGTCGTGAAGAATGCCTCCGGTTGGAAACGGTGTGGGAGTATCACATTGTGGATGCTGTTCAGAAGGAAAGGTATGTAGCGAGTCAGCTGTGAGAGGTGACATAGAGATGGCGCGTCGGGTTAATTACTTCCCCCATTTTCTGCCTTGTGCTATTCTTCTTTTTAACGTTCGTACTGGCGTTTCTGCTTTGTTCTCTTTAGGGCACGGAGCTATGTTTCTTTCTTTCCTTCATGTTTCCATTTTCATCTTCTTTATGTCTGGAGTAATAATGTAATACCACAATCTACGAGCCCGTGGCCGAACACAAAAGGCCATCTGGAATAGAGGCAGGGCCTCTAAGGAGCATGGAGACAGGCAACTAGATCTATAAATCAAAATGAAAATATAAGCAAACAGTTCCTCCGTACGACATATTTACTGCCTGAGACGAAATAGACACGTCGCAAAAAATTACTTTCGCCAGGTATTGTACGCCATACATGGAACATGGAATGCACCTGGATAAAAATCCAGTCGAGCCTATGTGATACCCATCGCTGCTCCGCAGGAGATGCAACTGTGCTGGTGTGTTTTCGTCAGTGTCAGACACGTCAGAGTACTCACTTAAAGCCAGCCATAAGAGGCTCAGCACATTTGTAAGGGTAAAATATTGGGGCAAAGTATGTGATAGTCAGGGGCAATGCGACGCCCGGCGACGACTCCATTTGTGCAGAAGGACTACGACATAATGGAGTAATTACTACCCCACACATACTGTCGGCGACTTAGGAGTAAGTAGGGCTTTACTGGACATGACTTAGACTTGAAGTGGGAAGAGAGATGCGTTCAATCCCACATACATCGTACCTACTCCTACGAACTGTACATCGTAATCTGAAAGACACCTACGACTATCCTACCAAGCCGTTTCTAGCCGGAAGAAAGGACGGACAGCATTGGATTGCTTGACCTGATGATATCGTATGTTTGTCTCCTTTCAGCACCTTGCATCTGCATATTATTTCTAAGCATTTCCATTTCCATCGATCATTTTGAAGCAATTCCATATCATACGGTTGAACGCTCAATAGGTGTGCGTGTTCTAGAGGGCACAAGTCGTAATTACAACGTACTGGAAAAACAAAACAGTGCCTTCTCGTCGACTGACGCGGCTCCACAAAACTGACGACGGACTACGATGTGCGAGAAGAAAGGCTTGTCTCTGATTTTCTTTTCCCAAACTGGCATATGCGCACGCGGGGAAGGCGCTTGTTTTCGCGTTAGATCACCTTTTCGTTTAATTCCAAAGCCGTGGTTTTCATTGTAATACCTCATTCTGTGCTTTCTTCTTCAGGCGGCCACCCCTACTTGGACGTTCCGTCGGCCCAGCCAACCGGGAAATGGGCCCCCAAGGCGAGGGCCTAAGCCCGAACAGAATGGTTTTTGCGTATTAAATACGATAGTTTCTTTTTGGAGATGGAATCCGGGGTGAGTGGAGAACAATCAAAGACGTTGAAGGACTATTGAGCTGTAAGGCCGCCAAGGCGCTTGCGGTTCGCGATAATTAGGCAAAAGTATAAAAAACGCCTCTCAAAGTTCGCAGAAATATGTCGGACGGTTTCCTGGCCGAGACAGTGAGCGACTCGTGCACGCCGAATGATGTTCTGCGGTTTTTTTGTACGATATCGCTCTTGCTTTCAGGGGGTGTTTTAATTGTGCACACTGAGCGCACGTTGCCTCCTCTTTTGGCAGTACGTCTCTCAGTGGGTCATGAGAAATATACAAAGGAATAGCTGTGTGTGTACGGGAGTGGTTGTGCACTATCCTCGTGTGGGCAAAACTCTTGTGAGAGAGGAGTCGATCGACAGGTCTTGCGATTGTGTCGTGAGAATGTTGGGATATTTTGGTACGGAATAGGAGAATATTACTGTTCTTGTTAATTTTGCAACAACTGTCACGCCTTACGAAGATTAAAAAAAAAGGAAATCAAGAATCAAGAAAACGGCATTGTTTTCGGCGGTTCGGGGTAGGAGGACCGATGTAACAAAAAGGACTGACAAAAGAGAGGGCCCTGCACAAGGGGACTGACGTGCCCCTGGAAGCCTACGTCGGAGGAGCCTGGAAGAGCACGAACGACAGGAGGACATGAAGGCCCGGTTGGCCGTTGGGCGGCCAAGTCGAGTTCGATGCAACGCTGTCCGGGGCAGAGTACTCGAAAAAGCGATTGGGGCCGAAAAGAACTACAAGATCGGCCGGGACTTGAATTTAGTATGGACAGCAAAATACGGAGTATTACGTCTTTACTTGTACATCGTGTATGGAGAAAAACTCTATACGATGTACATACATTGTGTGGAGGCAAAGAGAAATAGCAGGAGGAGCTTGAAAAACTCTGTTCGATTTGGGAGGCGACATTGGAATAGGGGTATAGTATGTACAGGAAAAAGAGTAAGGAAAGACTGACAGTTGCGGCTTGAAGCCGCGCGACCCAAATATAAAAGTAAAAAGAAAGACATAATAAAAGTCCAGTAAAAGTAGTCTGGCGCGATATGCTAGTAAAATGTCCATCCCATCGCACTAAGGGCCGCACACTAGTCCTGTCGCCTAGACGGAATAGCGGTGGTCCTTTAGTTGCACCAAAAAGTAAACAAAAAGAGCGTAATGAACATGAAGTCAAATCAAAAAGAAACCAACAGGTAGAAACCAAAAGGTGGTCAATACACGCCCAGGTAAAGATGGAAAAAATAGAAGAAGCCCCGCGCCGTGCATTCCCATTGTACCGTTTTGGAAGTGATAGTACAATGTGAGGAAAAAGAAATAAAAAAAGGAGACGAAAGCAAAGGGCCCATAGAAAAACAATCATAATACAAACGGACGTTGGCCCATCCTCAAGACCGACTGAAGATAGATCCTCTTGGACGTGGCGGTTTTCACGGCCGGTGGATTGCCAACTCGGTAACACTTTCGGTCTCGTAGTTCTTTTCTGCTTTGGATCCAGCATGGCGGCCGCCCACCATCTGGTCCAGCATTTCGTCGCTGTTATTGCTGCTGCTGCCAGCCGGCGAGTCAATGTGGTGGTGGAAGGCGCCATTCTTGCCCGGAAGTCCCTTGGTCGTATTCATCAAAATAGGTCTGGAGCGCCCGTTGTCGCCCTGTCCGTTGCTGTCGGACGACGGGCCGCCGAGGCTGCTCTGGCGCTGATAGGAGCCGGCGTGCTGGCTCTGGCGGTTGTGGCGGGCCTGCTGTTCGCGGCGCTTGCTTCTGGACTGCCACGGCAGCGTAAAGTCCAAAGTATCGCTCCACAGTGTCTGGACCGCCTTCCACGATGTGACAAGGTAGATGATGGCGTTCCAGAAACCCTGCAGCGGAAGCACGAAGGAGCTCATGTACTCCAGCGGGACGGACACTTTGTTGACATGGACAACGGAGAACACACGGTTGGCACTGGACGGGATCCAAGTCACCAGCATCGCCGTAAAGAACAGAATGGCGCACTTGGTATATGACCAGGCGGCCGTGTTGGCTTCATAGGCGGCACGGCGGCGGAGACGCTGGTTGGGTGGGTTGCGCGGGCCGGCTGAGACACCCACAACGGTCGGTCCGACGGCAGATGCAGAGGTGGTGGTGCGGTCTGCCGACATCATCTGCTTCAAAGTGTACGTGTTGGGCTCCATGGGAATCGCTCTGGGGACACCACTGCGGTCTCCGCTCTCGTCCTGGACGGGAAGACCGATGTCGCCTTCGCCGTAGGATTCGCTGTTGTTGACGTTGGCAACGCTAACCGGGCGTTTGTTTGACGATATCGTCACGGAGTAGGCAGCGTTTCCGACAGGAGGGCGTCCATTGTTGGCAGGGGCGGAGGGCTGGGGCGGTGCAGGGGTGGCAGCCTTGTTCATGTTGGCAGCACCTGAGCTGCGGCGGCCGAGAGGCGCCAGATCGATAACAGGGTCATGTTGGGTATTGACAATCTCGGTTGTGACATACACTTCGGTGGTCTTGCTGGAGCTGTACAGGTCGTCCATCGGGGGGAGTGGCTCGGGCTCGTGGTGGCTGCTGTAGTGAAAGTTGCGCAGCTGCTTGTGTTTCTTGTAGATTTCACGCCCGGCGCGGATGTAGATGAAAATGGTGATGAGAATGACAACCCAGACGGGGCCGTAAAACATGGCAATGCGCCAGATATCCCACTCGGAGCTGATCCAGCACCAAAGCGTGGCGTTGCCGTACATGCGGCCCTGTCTGTCGTTGGTGACGAAAACAAAGGTGAGGGCCACGATAAATGGAATGCCGTAGCAACAGATGAGGTATGGGATTTCCATGCGCCGCAGCTTTTGAGCGTCAAACTTGTAGTAAAAGGTTAGGTAGACGTTGACGGCCATGGCCAAAGTCCAGAACGCATCCGCCGGCATGAACCTTTATTGTGTTAGTCCCTTCTTTCATCTCTTTCCGCCTCGTTTGATCTCTTTTTGATTTCTGTTCACTTTTTCTGTCTTTTCCAGCACTTACATTTGAATCAGGAAGGCTTGAAACTGGCATCCAGGTGATAAAACATCACTTAGATATGATCGAGCCATTAATGTTGCCACGTTGGTCATCATGTTGCCAAACGAGGCATAGAATACAAGGCGGTTGATAGGCTTGTGGAATGACTTTGAAGCACTGAATGTGCCGATGACGACAAGGCATCCGAGGAGAGAAAGAACAGAGCCCACACGCTCCACAATGGCAAAGCTGTTGAGCGTGTCGTCGCTCAGGTCGGCGGCATCCATGATGGGCGGTGATGAGTGAAGCCCAGTAAAGAAGTCTGTTAAGTGAGTGTAAAACGTGGGCAAGAAAAGAAATAAGAGAAGGAAACAAGAAAAAGGAATAAAAAGAAGGAATAAGTAAAAAAAGAATAAGTGAGAAGAATAAGAGAGAAAAAGCAAAAGAGGAAGAAGAAAGTAATCGACTTGGCCTGGGCGATCTCGAATGGGAGCCGTGGGTGAAGAGGATGCTCCTGTTGTATTATAGAGGAGTGTGCTGCCGTGGGTCGGATCTACCAAAAAGTAACGAAACGAGCCCCTTATCGTCAAGGCGTATAGTGTGGTAAAGGTATCCTTTGCAGGAGTGGGATCAGTGCAGTGATGCGGATATTCCTAATGAGTCGGAATCTGCGGAAATACGTATCTCTGGGAACAGTAACTTCCACCCAGGGGACGGTTGGTGCCGTGTATGTTCAATATGTAATATGCAAACACGCTGAACACTTAGATATAAAATGCGGTGGGTGATGTTTGGTGTTGGGTGCAGGGGAGCCGAGGTGTCAGACCTTGGTTCAGGTGCTGATCATCGCAGCAGAGGATGAGACTGCAAAAGGAAGGGAACAAAAATTAACTCTGCGGTGAGGGCACCGACGTCTTCAAGTACTTTGAAACGACCAGAGAATGAAAAGAGCGGCGGCGGTCGGGGCGTAGCGCTGGGATCACGAGGAATGGCGAGAACAGAGCGTCTTGGTTGTGATCGACAGCTTCGAAGCGTGCACGCTGTTTCTCCTTCACTCTCGCAGATTGGCAACGATGCGCCCGGCGTAACACTGACAAAGGGAAAAAAAACGAGAGTGAGTAACGAGGCACAGTACTGTCCAACAGACAGAACAACGGAAGAGTGAGAAGAAGGTGCTTGAGCGTACGAAGCACGTTGTGCGTAAATCTGAAAAGGAAAAAAAAGCAAAGAGAAAGAGACAAGGGTCCAACAAGATGGGAGGGTTGTTAAAGGATAGAAGGAACCTCTGACTTCAGCAAGAGAACGGAGTTGGGGTGGAGAAAGGAGGGAGGGGGCTGTTCGCCTCTGGACTGGATACCCCTGCGCCGTACAGAGAAGCAACAAAAAACAATACTCCGCAGGTATTCTGCACGAACTAGGAGATGGGTTCATCATGCAAATGATTCGTGCACATCTGGGCTGGGCTGGGAAGGAGGGCCGATGTCTGTGAGGACCGGGGGGTTTCATGGTATCTGGAGACTTGTGCATAGGTGTGGCTGGATGTTCACGTACCTACTATGCTGTAGCTTCTCCTGCCTTGTCGAAGCCGAGCCAGATCAGGGTCTATGCGCTTAAGCCCAAGCGACAGACAGATGCCGAAGCGTATGGCAAGGGTGAGACAGTGAGAATAGAATATCGACTCGGGGACAAAGTGTGTAAGAACGTGAGCGGCGTGATGGACAGGCCGTTGCCACTTATGGAGTAGTACAGAGAGACGGGGATGCTGGCGCACGGTGATGAGACGACGTAGGCAGAGGCGGCGGGCGAAGTAGTGTCGTCTGTGGTGAACGTCAAATTTACAAACGATGCCAGAGATGGAGAAAGATCCGAGTGTTCATCAGCTTGGCAAAATAGGTTCCAACGCGTCTGATGTTGTTGGCAGTGTTTGAACGTGAGACGAATTTGGAGACGAAGGCTATTCTTCGACGGGCCGGTAGTGAAGGAAGAGTTGATAGATAGGCAGCATTTCGCATCGTTTATCTCGACGGGAAAATTGAGATGGAACAGGCGAAAGCAAGGTCAAACAGCAACACGAGAAGAAGAAAGAGGTAAATAAAAGAAGCATAGAGACAGAAAACAGAGAAGCAACATCGACAGTATATCAAGCAAGTGTTATTTTTCCAAAACCATACGCAAACTAGGGCAAGCGTGCGACGCGGGCGACGGTAAAATGCAAAATGCAAAAAGCAAGCGAAAATTGATATTAACGGGCCCAGATGGAAGTGAGAGGACACTATGTTCGCAAAAAGTGGCTGTGGGCGATAGAAAAAGGTGAGAGGAATCCGACAGGAATCTAAAGGCGTACTCTGTGTCAAAACCAGTTGTGGGTGGGGACCGCGGTGAAGAGACCTGCGCATCCCAATGTGGGAAGTCCATAGTGACGCACATCTCGTAGTAGAGCAAATATCTTCGTCCCTTGTCGAGTTCCTCGAGTGCTTAAGACGGCTATTATGACATGGCCTGCAGGGTGCGGGAGGTGTTTTTGACGAAGGCGGCAAATACTCAACTGAAGACGCACATAATCGATCAAGCAGCTACTTCGAGGACAAAGGCAACGGACGGGCCAGAGGGTCGCCGAGGCCTTCGCGAAGTTCTCTTTTGCCCCATGCCTTGATATGTTCCGCGCCGACCCAGACGGGAGACCCTACTGTGGACATCGCGATCAAAGAGACTTAGAAGAACGGGACAGAAATACAACTTACTAGGCAAGTTGAAGCCAAGCAAAAACCGTATGCGGGGACCGTCATGGCTGGCCTGATAGGGCAAAGAGACAGATAAAGAAGCAATATTGGCCGGGTTTTCTGTATCTATTTCGCACGGTATTTGCCAAAGCGTGCTGGCGACGTGTGCTCGCGTGTAGCTTGTTGCTTCCTGTCGAGGTTTCGAGGTTGACGAGGTACACATACCTTATTCCGCGCCTGTTGAAAGACCAAAGGTACAAGTATAGCTGACGTCGTATGCCGGTCGGTGGAGTCCAGAAACGGAGAACATCCTTCGCTGCTTCGTTCTTAGACACTACTTTTTCTCCGCCATTGTCTGTCTCATCTGGTTTTTTGCCTCTTTTGTTTTCTTTTTTTTTGTGCAGCGGAGGTGGGTATCATTCTGCTCCTCAACAAGAGGGTGTCGTCTTCAGACAGGGGTTAGGGATCGGCGGGAGGTCCACAATGAATTCTACACCACATGAAACCCTTGTCAAGCCATGTGAGAAGCATTGAAACGGCCAAGCAAATACCCCAAGTCTCTTATCCTCTCCAAAAGCAAACGCTCAGGCTCTGCCCAGATTTACTCATGGTAATGAAGGGCGTAGCGCACCTCGCCTTTCAAACAGTGCTAAACAAACAGGCCAAGAACGCGAGACTTCAAGGCATAGCCGCAGTTGCATGCTAGTCCAGGGGTCCTGGATTAGGACGTTGAAGAAGGTGTAGGCTCGGTGTCATCGAGTCGGGGTCTCCAAGACCAACAGGATGCTGAAACCTGGGGACAAATAAATGTAGCTCGAGGCTATTGGTGTTGGGCATACTTGACCAACAATGCCGACTAGCAACGACGACGCGATTATGGGAAGCCGGTACGATTTGCAGGTTACTGGCGAATCATTTCATTTTTGTGTCTCGTGGGCTGGTGAGGCACGGAAGAGATTGTGCCTTTTATGTTGGCAATGCAAAATGAGCAAGCGACGCCATTGTGCTGTTGGCGGCAGGAGGAGGCGGAACACCACGGCGATCAGAATAGAACATTCACCACAGGCCGTTCCAAAGTGGCACGGCTAGTATGTCTGGGAGGTCGGTGGTTTTTTTGGGGGGGTTTTTGGTTTTTTGTGTTGAAGATAGTCAGGCATTGCAGCACTGTCAGTTTAAGTCGGTGGTGAATGCGGATTCCTCCACATAACGTTCAGGACCAAAACGTTTCTTCCTGACAGTTGGGTGAGACGGGCCGTTTAGGAGAAATATGACTGCTTGGGGACAAGCAGCCATTGGCAGATCCTTGCAAGTTTTCTTCATAGGCTAAATGCGTCGACACATCATCCTCCTCAGGAAGTGGCGACCGTCAGCCGAGCATTGAACTCATCCTGGAGGTGGAGTGGAACCCCGTTCCGATGTCTCATATTGCTCGCATGTTGTGTTGAGAAGAGCCCCTCAACGTTTTTGTATACGAAGGAGATGACAGGCTGTTTTCGTCCGAGTTTGCATTGCTCCTTGTAATGCAATGCCTTACCTCGTTGGCGAGCAGAAGCACTGCAGAATACGGCGGCGAAGTAAGGACTATTGTGCCCAGAGATGCTCCTTTCGGTGTATTGGCCTGTGATACCAACTCTCCTGAAGAGCGCATGAGCCAATGTCCCAAGCCACCCGTGGCGGGAGAGAGGCACAAGGAAGCGAGAGCCAAACAGTGGCTGGCCCGACCGCCGGCCCCAGACTCGACATTTCGTGAATTTGGTCGAATGGTACTATGTCCTGAAAAGGAGTTCTCAAGTTGCCATTTCTGGCACACCGCCGCAATGAGTGGCAACATCTCTCCGTGCTGGGACTGGTCGCCCCACTCGGTTTGGACATGAAATATGGAGTCTGGGGAAGCAAAATTTCAGAGGTACGACGTGAAGGGCTGAGAGGAAAACCAATGGCCAAACTGACAGAGGGCGAATAGCAAGGGGAAAAGCAGCACCCATCACATGGACTCTGGCAACGAACCTGGATTGCAGTAATTGTTCACGGTGAAGTTGCAGCAGGGCACAGACATGCACCGCGGTGGAGACGTGGACGCCGTTCGGTGTCATTGGCGAGCTTGTGTGAAGATATGACTGCCTCCATTGATACTGATGCAGTGTTTCTCTGTTTTCCGCTTCGCAGTGCCATTGTGGCTTGATACACGATTGACTGGTGGCAAGAAAGGGGCGCTTTGCTTTCCTGGTGGCCGGGACAGCCTGGGTACGGAAGGAGCGATCTGTGCTGGAGACGGACCACAACATCTTTGCGACTGGTTTACCCCTGTTGAGTGCCGACCGCCCCTGTCGCTCCTGCTTCTGCCGTTCCGTGTCGTAATGGTGTAGCCAAACTCCCGTGCCAGCTTTAAGTATGGCCGTGTAATTACTCCAAAGACCTGTTCCGTCGTTGCTTCCGTGACGGAGAGCGGCACAAAAATTTGGGACTTCGAGGGAAGGAGCGGCTGTGATGGAGATTCAGAAAACGGGAGGAACGACATTGAACCATAGCAAACCCGATGGTGTGGGCAGCACGGGCGGCAATGGCAG